ATCTGTCTCCTAGAATTCAAGTCACCGATAGCTATTACGAGAGATAGTTTGGAGGAATTAAAAAAAAAACGTGGGCCAATATTTTGTAGAGCTGGAAATTATTTTGTGGGCGGTTATGTTTTGTTTTTTTACTTGTCCCTTTAGTCTACTGAACAAATATCACTTTGTGCATGGGTTTATCTTAGGTCTTATTTCAGAAGAATAAATAAAGTAATGTGCCATTGATATTAGTAGGGTTGAGGTGTTTCCTTATAGTCGATGTCTCATCAGGTTGACAACGTCTTTACAGACATAAGAAATCAAGGTTTTTGTGCTTCGCTTTTAAGGGCCACCGCTGAAAAACCATATCGCACATTCACAGAGCAACCAATACTTGGCTTACATAGTACATTTGCGAATCAGATTGCAAAAATGTTTCCTTTATCGGCCTGATGCAAGTGTGTTTAGGTTATCTAATATACAAACCTTTCAACGCATTCCTCGCTCTCGTAACCTACCATTTATACTTCTAGTTATCATCTGAGTGTTTTGCACTACTAGATGTTTTTCTTGTTTCATACGATGAATACAATGATGATTATCTAAACTGCGTGTTTTTTATCCCGATGAAATCGGCCGGTTACATTGAAAACGCTGTGAAACGGATAACTGGCGGGGACACTTTTGACGCCTTTGCTCATTCGTGGAACATATTTCGGATTCCCGCAACACCTTTTCCAGGATCCTCTCTCTCCCAATAGAGAGCCCTAGGCTTCTTTCCCAGGGTCTTCTCTCTCCCTGCACTTAGCAGTTAATCTCGTTCACGGGCTCCTTTCTCTCCTTGTATACAGCAATTAACCTTGTTCCTAGGGTTCTCTGTCTCAGTAGAGATAAGTAAGCCTTGTTTCTAGGGTTTTCTCTCGTCCTGTGCACAGAAATAAATATCGTTCCCAGGGCCCTCTCTCTTTCTGCATAAAGCCGTTAATCTCGTTCTCAGGTTCCTCTCCCTGTGAAGAGTTAATGTACCTGGGCCTCTATCTCAATAACAAGGGAGGGGAAGAGAGTGAGCCTAGACATTACTGTTTTCACTTCAACTTCTGCCGGTTTATAATTTGTGGAGAAGAAAACGGTCCACAGGTGTGTGGTAGGCGGCTGCAATAAAGAGAGAAATGAGAAGAAAGGAATGTCATTCTATGTTTAACGAAAACAACTCAAGCCATAAAAAATAGAAATGCTCCCATTTGTGGACTCGTACCGAAAGAGTCTGCATAAAAATAATCAATTCCTGATCGGTAAATGCAGCTCGATCATCTTTAAACGGCGTTTGCCAGCGGAAGTTTCATAGAAAGGGCATTTTAAAAAAGGTAAACCTTATATATAGAGAGAGAAAACGTTTACAGTACAACCCATAAAACGGCCATAAATCAGCCCATGGACCACACAGGAGAGACGTAACACACATTTTATATAAGATAAGCTGTTTTTATTGAAATCTTTTCATTTTCGTAGGTTACAGAAACCATAGGTTTTTTCCCCATACAAATCCTTATATTTAGAATGTTACGCAACAATGGCGATGCCCGTTGATGCTCATATTTCGAGCTTGGGTTACCTGTGGTACGTTATACTTCTATCTTGACGGGCTGTCAGTTTAATATATAGATTTAGCCACGGCTAAAAGCGAAGCTCCCATTGAAAAGTTAAGTGATTTTGGAGTGAAAAAAATCTTGCATCGAGTTGATATAGCTTTATATGTACACCCAAAAAGGTGTAGGGTCAAATTTAAGAGCAATAATGGCTCTTGATCACAGTAGATAAGGCGTGGAAAACAAATCAGGCCGAATTTTTTGCGATCGACAAGTTTACAAATTCTTGCCAATAAATCTGGGTGCGTGCAAACCAATCTTTTATTTTTTTTAATACACCACATCTGAGGAGAAAGAGTACTATGAGACGCTGTTTTTATCATACAGACCTGGTGCAAAATGCAGTATTTCACAATTTTTCAAGACAAATTGCATTCATTCAATATTCAGGACCATCGAAGCACGCGTGGACTTTTAATTAGCGAAACCGTTCAAAAAATTTCCAAAATCACCTATTCGGCCAGCCGGTTCTAACTTTTGACAAGCGCCAAATTTGCCAAGAAATTTTAAAAGAGTTACGCTTCAACGTGATAAAGAATTTATTGAGTCTATTTTTTATTCATGGTTTTATAACGATGTGTAACCTTAAGAAGCGTTTGATACGCTCGGCATTTTGAGTACTCCTGCAAGCGATGTTTATGAACGGCTGAAAACAAACGGCAAAGCGATGAAAATTACACTTTTGAGACTACCAACAATCAATAAAGAAACAGAGACAACAATTTTCATTCACGAAAACAAATGAGTGTTTAAGTGTCTCTAAGAATCCTCAAGTCTTTACTAGTAAGCTTAAAGATTAAGGTTATGTTTTAAGCCGCCGGTTTCACGGGCGTGTTTGCTGTTTTCAAAGATGAACTCAGGACAAGAAAATCGCTCAAAGCTTTCTTTCTACAGCCAAAATTATAACTAAATATTCTTCGGAAAGTCTTTTCTTTCCATTTACGGTGAATTAATATCGACTAAAGGCTTTTTAAAGTTCTGTAAGCTTAAGCTTACATCAAACCTCATACTAGGTCAGATCAGTGTCTCAGTTCAATCTTAATACAAACGTGCATAAACTAGCTTCATCAACTGCGCCGCTGGACTTCATGAAATTAGATATAAATACAACAATTACTCAGGCTTACCATATTTCGAGATGCAGCTCCTAAAAGCTGTCAAGTAACGCAAGGATCGCTTGAGCCTTTATACTTCTCGCACGCATCCAGCAAGGTGAAAAACAAAAACGATGCCATCCGAAATCAGATTATCGGCTTTGAAAAGCGAAGCGAAAAACCCAATAGACAAACCAGCCATAAATAAGAGAACACTTTTGATATCAGCTGTATTTCATTTTGTACATCCAGTGGAAAAAGACAGTTAAAAACATCACAAGTTGACTCAAAACTCTGTCAGCTTCAGCTGTCAAAGTAAACAACTTTCAAGATGCTGCATAAATTTTACGCATGAATTCACCTGTCAAATTTTAACCAATCAGAGCATAAAAATTGGACGTGAAGCGTGACCAACACGTGACCATGGTAAGAAAAGGTCTTCCCCGCCTGTATTTTAAAAAAAACTGGCTGAATTTTTCCGTCCGTGGTCAGTTTGAAATCAAAATCGTAATAGTGCGGGGCGATACTGACATAAACACAACATATTTGATATGAATTTTAAAAAAAAGTAAACGTGAGCCTGCAATCATTTGAAAACAAATAAATTGTCAGCCGATAACTTCAAAAAATACTCGATCTTGATGGGTCGACACCTGAGCCCGCGATACGGTCAGGTGATACTGGTCAGCGGATACCCTGTTTTGACAGCTGTCAATTGATGACAACATTGATGTGCAATCAGCTTCCTCCTGGTTCTACCAAAGTAGCTAGAAAGTGTGAGAGTAAACATTGGTATGCCTGTGGTGCGGACGGACGGTCGGTCGGTCGGTCACGTGAGTACCAAATTTTCTCGGATGGGTAGATTACCTTAGCTATGGGGCTCCGCCCACGCATGCGCGCTTCGCGCGCGCGTGGAGCTCCGCTACAAATGAACCGAACCGTGAAATATCAAGGGGCATTTTCCAGAACTGTGAGGTTTGCGGGCAAGCGTTTCCTCTTCTCCACTCCCCCTCCCATCTTATTTTTGCTTCCGCTCTAATTTTCGCTCAGTAACTCGATTGGAAACGCTTGCTACGCAGGCTATCGATTCCTTTAAGTCTCACTCCCTGACTAATGAAGGTATCAACAGAATGCGCCGCAGTTTTTCTTTTTTGTTCGTTGAATAACCACACCAGTAGTTCAGTGACGACACATCAGTTCATTGAGCGTAAACTACATGTAGCTGCGGGGAAAATAGCCACAAATACGTTAGATATCATATAATATGAATGTGTAGCATTGATACTCATTTAACAACGATACAAGAACTAAATTGAGAAATAGCCTTGGTATACTGTTATTAAGTTCTAGTGAGCTCACTAATATAGACATGAACATAGACTGATGTTAATTTAAAAGTTATAGTCTGCTCATAAGGTCTGTCATTCTCATCAGGGGCACAGTGAACAGACCTGGAAAGAGAGTCTTTTAGATACCCTAGTTCTAGTAACTATTTTAGAAAACTCGTTAACGAGACTTCCTATGTTTTCCCCAAGGTGTAACAACGCTACGACAGGAAGGCGTTTGTCATATTTTATGGGCTCCTGACACTCCCTACTCGTCATAAGTACATCTACAGTCCTTTCTCTTTGCGCCGTTTTTGCACTGGGCGCCTTTAGCGCCGACAAAATCACGTTAAAACTTAACACTTGCAGCTCACATGCCCCACCCCACCCGGGCACGAAAATTGGTTAAATACCCGGGATATGCCCTGGAGAAAGTTGATTGATCGACGCACAAGTAATACCTTTCAGATTAGTGAGGGCTTGCCTAGAGTTGGCTTGGCTTACACTGAAGCAAAATTCGGCAAGCAAAGAAATAGTAACGGAGTGCAGGGTTCGCGCAGTGGTGAGAGCACTCGCCTCCCCCCAGTGTGGCCCGGGATCCATTCCCACTCTAGCACCATACGTGGGTTGAGTTTGTTCTTGGTTCTCTACACTGCTCCGAGGGGTTTTTCCCTAGGTACTCCGGGTTTTCCCCTCTCCTCAAAATCCAGCATTTCCAACTTTCAATTCGACCCGCATTCAAAGGACAAAGGACAAAAGCAAATAGTTTTTTTTGTGTCACCTGCTTGAGATAATTGAGGGATGTTGATTTTTTCAAGATTTCTCATATTCGATTGCTCGACACCATTGCTTTGGCGTCTGACATTGACGATGTTTTTCTGTGTTTCATTCCATAGATAGCATTTCCCAAATAAAACAATTCCAATGAGATATTGGTATAAAGAAGTGTCCCAAGAATGTCCTCGCAAAGCCAAATAATTCCGGCCCTGGGTCGTCCCTTTGACCTTGGCATGCTTTATGATCGCCGTTCAGACCAGCTGATTATTGGGAAAACATTGTGGTCTCTGGATCATCAGGGTCAGGCCGTTAACACGATAACCAAACCGTACACCAACTCAGAAGTCCTTGCCGAAGACACAATTGACGATAAAACAAGTGCTCTCAATATTAAAGGAGGCATTAAATTGAGTTTGCTTTGGGGTTTAATTAACGTTCAAGGAGCAGCGAAATACTTAGATGACAGAAAGACATCAAGTCACCATTCTCGCGTTGTTCTGAAGTATGAGACAACAACTGAGTTGAAACAGCTGACCATGGAACATTTGGGACCAGGAAAGGTGCAGTATCCAGAGGTGTTTGACCAAGATATTGCCACTGATGTAGTGGTTGGAATTCTGTATGGAGCCAATGCATTTTTGATCTTTGACCAGGAAGTTTCCAAAGATGAATCCTTGAAAGAGGTGCATGGAAATATGGAATTACTGGTGAAATCCTTGCCTGGTATCTCTATAGACATACCTGAAGACCAGAAGAAGAATACAGAGAAAATGCATTGCAAGATGTATGGAGATTTCAGAACAGAAGAAAGTCCAACCACTTACGAAGAAGCAGTGAGAGTCTACAAACAGCTACCATCATTGATTGGGGACAAGGGTCAGAACGCAGTTGCTGTCCAAGTATATTTACTCCCGCTCAGTGACATCGATAGCAAGGGGCAACGAATGGTGAGAGAAATCAGTGCCAATTATATGAGCAAGACATGTGAGATTCAAGAGCACATACAGTGTATCGAGTCTAAGTGCAGCGAGTTAATGAGAGAGGATGTTTGTTCGTCGTTCTCTCGAGTCAAGAAGCAATTATCAAGTTTCAAAAGTAATATCTTGCGCTACAAGATCTTTCTCCAGAAGAAGTTGTTGCCTTTGCTTCCCAGCATAAGAGGAGGCGGAGCAGAAGAATCAGCACTTGGCGATATCTTTGAAGAAAAAGAGCGTTCCCCTTTCTCACAAACTCGCATTGATGCTTGGATCGTGGAAAAAGAGAAAGAGATGAAGAGATTGCAAAGTATTATCGCTTTCTTGGGAGACACTCCTTTTGTTAGCCCTGAAGATGTAGAAAATGAAGCGTTCGACCCAAGCAATGAGCACGTTGTGTGCTGTACATTTAAGATTGGAAAGGAAGACGATCCTCAGATTTTGAGTATGGATGCGTACCTCACAGGAAAAGTTCTGCCCGAGTTGAAGAGAAAGGCATCATCAGGTACCGCTGAGAAAAATGTCAATAAAAGAATGCGCCAGACACTGAAACAGTTCTCAGAACTGAAATCTGCAAATGAAGATCACAAAAAAGTGAAGTTTTTCGCCACAGAGGAGTGTCTGTCTGACAATTTCAGTGGAAATCCGGGAGCCTTCATCTATCTGTACGAGGAGGGCGAACTAGAAAATGATGATTTTAAGGTATCACCAAAGCCAGAAAACCTAGAAGCAGAGAGAGTGCGAGACGATTCATTCGAACTTGGGTGGAATGATCCGCACTGGAGCGAGAACAAGATTGAAACGTACAAAGTTCAGTGCAAAAAGAATGAAGCCAACTCCGACTGGATCACTCAGTACACACTGTGTGGAAAGGAAGCTAAGAAAACTGCTACCATATCTGGACTTCAACCAGCTACCAACTATCTGGTACGAGTATGCGCTGTGAGGCAGATTGTGGTTAGCCAATGCAGTAATACTTTGTCTGCAACTACCAAACCAACAAGTCCGCCTGGTAAGCCAACCTTTGAAGCTGCAACGACTGACACCATAACCATTGCATTCACTAAACCCAAAAGTATTGGACAGGGAGTTAATATTGAAAAGTACAAGATTGCATGGATATTCAATTCCCAACAGATGGAACAATTCCTGCACTACACAGAAGATGAGTCGCTGACTTGCACAATCAAGGGACTTCAAGCAGGAGTACCCTACAATTTCAGTGTTACCGCGATTTGTGGTAGCGAAGGAGACAGCAACGCCAGTGACCTTAGTAATCCACTGCAAACAATGTTACCTCCGACAAAATTTGATACAAGCAGGATCCTTGCCTGCTGCAGCCTTGTTCAACCACCCGACAATGGAAAGCCAGCGGTGTACACTCTTCCTCTAAGTGTCGAGTACGAAGACAGCCGCGGTCAATTGCGAAAGTTTGTTATCAATCTTCGAGAGAAAGGGGTGCAGTTACAGGGTAAATTTAAGACCGTTCCTGAGAAAGTGATAATGGTTGTTGGGTCTGTGGGTTCTGGCAAGACAACCATGGTGAACGCTATGATCAACCATGTCGTTGGAGTACAGTGGAAGGATGACTTTCGTCTCAAGATGATCCACGAGCTCGCTAGCAACCAAGGGGCAGGAACAATTGGAAGTCAAGCACACAGTCGAACACAGTTCGTATCTTGTTACACTCTACCGTACATGGAAGGATTCAAAATACCTTACAACCTCACTATCGTCGACACTCCGGGCTTCGGAGATACAAGAGGAATTAAGCACGACAAAGTGATCACCGAACAGATCCGTAGATTCTTCAACGCGAAGGGCTCGGAAGGCATTGATCATGTTGACGCCATCTGCTTCATGGCTCAGCGGGCTGGTAATGCGACGCTCACTGCAACACAGCAGTATGTTTTGGGCAGAATTCTGGCCATGTTCGGAAAAGATATGAAGAAGAATGTCTTCGTGCTCTCTATCTTTGCTGATGGTCAAAAGCCTCGAGCCCTGTCAGCAATGCTAGCAGCCGGAATCCTAGAGGATGAAAGTAAATTCTTCAAGTTTAAGAACAGCGCCCTGTTTTTCGCTGACTCTGGTGAAGATGACGAAGACAACTTCGACAGAATGTTTTGGAGAATGGGAATCAACATTTTTGAGAGGTTTTTTCAAGGCTTGGCCGAGATGGAACCAAAAAGTCTTGTCCTTACCAAGCAGGTTTTGGATGAAAGAGCTCAGCTGGAAGTTCGACTCAGTGGTTTGTGGGAGAAGATTGAGCATGGAGTAAACAAACTGAGCGACCTGCAACAGTTAAAGAGAAAGCGCAATCAACATGCAGCCGACGTGAATGCCAACAAGAACTTCAAGTTCACTGTTCAAGAAGCAATCCTCGTAAATGGCGCATATCGCTATGTAACCGTGGAAAAGGAGAATCACGAAATCAGAGAGAGGTTCAATACAGCGGTTAAATGCCACAGCAAGGTAGAGGCTTTGATCAAGCAAGTAGAGGAGGATTTTAATAACACCAATCGCATTGTATTGAACTTGGTGGCCGAAATACAACGTGGTTTAAAGAAGTTGTCAGAAATTGCCCTTAAAAAGGATCCACTACAACAAGTGAACTACTTGAATTTGCTCATAGAATCTGAGAAATCAGGAGCAAAGCCTGGTTGGCAAGATCGCGTAGAATCTTTGCAGAAAACAAGGGATGAGGCAGTCGAAATCAGTTGTCTGGGAAAGCCTGGGTTCGATCCGTGGGAAAAATATCGAGAGAACGAGGAGACTCGTCAGTTCTTTCAGAAGCAAACTGATGAGGCTCAAGGAGAACAAAACGCAAAGAAGGCAGCAAGTAAAGCAAAGAAAGCCTTCTCTGGCTAAGAAAAAGAACGAGTCGGAACATTTTAAGCAAGGATTAGTTCGCTATGCCTCGAAAAAAGAACTGGGGGACCAGTAAAGTTTGCTGAGTAAAACACGGATTTGGACAACTGGAGTAATTAAGCTATTTACTTGATTATCGACACTGAGGAGGGCTCGGATGACACTTAAAAAAACCAAAAGCTGGAAATTCAGCGAGGAACATACAGTGTGTAAAGCTTAGTGAAAGTCTTTTATGTTACAGGGGAGTTTTACATATTTTTGCCTAATTTGGGGAATATATAATCATCGTGTGTTATTCTGAAATCTTTTCTCAGGGGCACCCAACGACGGTTTCCTCCAAAATACGTTGAAAACACTTTTCAGGCTATCCAGAGTACTCTTAGTTCTCTAGAAATGCATTCTAAGTGGCCTTCAATTTTTAGCTGTTCGGTCATCCTAGGAAAACTTAAGCCTTTTCGAAGTTACAAGGGCTTCAGTATTATTTTTCCCAAAATTTTAGGCGCAATTTAGTGTTTCACGAAAGTGAGAATTTTTCTGATTTCTTTCTCAATCACATTTTAGAATCCGAAAATTTTAAGTTTCCTTTTTCTAACAAAAATAATTTAACCTGGTTAGTAAAGTAGGAAAAATAAAACTTCAGAAAATCTTAGGGAATTTATTAGATGAGCTTCGAGAATTGAACTTGAATGGAACGTTCATCTAGAAATTTTTAGCCGTCCTCAAGCAAAAGAAAATTCTACACAATACTTGCTTCTCCGAACAGACATTTTACAGAAAACAGTCGTTGGGTGCCCCTGTTTTCTTAAGGTTATTAAATTTTTTTGGAGCGGAAGCTTTGCGTGGACTGCAGGATATTAGAGAAGTAATATATCATTCAAGAAGAGTTTATTTGATTAATCTTTTCATGTGGCCACGCCTGAAGGATATACGGTGTTGGTTTTCATCACGATAGCGATTCAAAACTCCATTTCGCTGATTATCTAGTAGAGAATTTAATCAACGAAAACGGCAATTGCAGCGAGAACGTCATCTTAAAATCTTATTAGTAGTAATGATCTCTTCGCGAGTATTTCAACCTTTAAATTAATCAAAGCAGTGCTGCTTGCCCAAGAATGAAACTCGTATTGACGGCACTTACTTGGCGGGAGAAAACCTCGTGTACTGAGGTTTGTCACAAAACGTTAAATTTGGCCTTTTTACGTTGTCGTTTTGCAGGAAACAACAAGATGTACTAACATTCAAAACGCACGTGCAGAGCGTACAAAGCTGTTCTAGTTTTGTCATTATATATGCAAATTTATATATATGCTTACATGGTGCTGTAGACATTCTAGAAAATATTTGTTGAAAAATGTCATCACCTAATTAACTGTAGCATCCCGCCAGACGCATAGCCTGCGTGGCAGGCCAGGCTACCAGACGCACCACGCGCGACACCCAGTATGTATTGTTTTCAATTTTTCATATGTCTCTGATTGTAACCGTTTTTCTGGCAGTTGCCTGATGATTGCTTCCGATGAAGCATGAAACTCTGTTGGCACAGATTTTAGGAAATATGTAATGAACATTTGGTGTGTGAATTTATTGCGTGTTATTCGGAATTTTCAATTGCGTGAACCTTTTTGGAGTGAAATTTGAATTTTGAATTGTGTGAACTGTTTAGAGTGAAAGCGTGAATTACATTTACCATATTTACGGGAGAGTTAGGTTGATAAGGCCCTAAAAATACGTGATCTGGTCTCGAAGACCTTTTTAGTAGACACATGCGAGTATTTTCTAGGAATAAGCACGCACGAAAAAGTGCTCACATGAAACTCGTAATGTGCTAAGACCCGCCCTTTTGTTAACTTTGCGTTGACCTTCGTTTTCTTGGTCAACTTAATTACTTTTGCCTCGTAGTTATGAATGACTTTTGTTTAGTTAATCGACCTGAACAAATGACTCGAGTTGTTTTAAGTACAATTTGATCTTGCGTTATGTCATAGTCTGACAATCTTTCATAAAACTAATAGTACCTCAGAGTGAGTTAAGATTATAAATCTTAGTCCTTAACCGTGGTATTTTTACCATTTTGAACTGTGGAACCAGTTGGTTCCATCCTGGAAAAGAACAATGGAATTCTTGTTTTAATTAAGTACTTAACTTAAGTTGTTTACGACACAGGTTAATTAAACTTTGCTCTTTAAGAGTTTGCTAGTGAAAAAAACAGATCACGTTCTAAGAGTAGAACGCAACTATTTCAGAGAATCCGCGGTGGTTGGTATAAGAATTTGTCCAGTGCTAAACTTTGTCGAGTACGAAACTAGGACTGGTTTCTTAATCCCTGAAAAGAAGCCGCTGTTGCTATGAACTCGCCGCCGAAATAATAGTTATCCATCTAAACCAATGACGGTGCGTTGTCAGAATTGATGCGTTGTATTAACAAGTATACGTTTTGCGCAAGAGCGTCACTCTGTACTTGGACCTCATGCATCACAGACATTAAAGCTTTCTCTCCTGATAGTGTTGTCAAGTCTCTAAATCTGTCCCGTAACAACTCTGAGTAGCAATTAAATGTCTTGGATCAAATAATCCAGCTCTTCAACTACATTATTATCTACAGTCGAACCTCTCTAATACGGACACCGACGGGACAGTGCGAAGTGTCCGTATTAGAGAGGTGTCCGTATAAAAGAGGTTACCCAGGTTACCATGATAACGTCACCTTTCTGACTCTGCTTACAGTTTTAAGTGTTCAGTAGCTAAAGCCAGGCTCACGATCGTCTTTAAACTGTATTTAAAGTTATTAATTCACATTACAATGACACTGTCTTTCTTTAAAATACAACATTGTGCTTCTCAGCTAAAGACAAACTACTGTTTTAAAACGAAACGAGCTACAGCGCAATGTTGCATGTAAAAAGTCACGGTAACGTAAAGCACAATTCTGAAGGCGTCTTTCGCTATTTTGCAAGTGCGGTAGACAGTGACTAGTGTACAAAATGAAATAGAAAGATCTTTATGCTATCTGTAGTTATTGAAGTTTTAAAAAAATCGGGTAATCTATGTTCCTTTGTACACCTTTCGCAAATCGTTGTTTGATATACAGCGACTTGGCTTTCTATAACCTTGCATAACTCATCAGCCAGACTAGACGGGATTCACCCTGTGCAGATTCACCCGATCGGGATTCGAGATTCCACTTATCACCGCAGAGTCTGTAATAAAGAGGTTAAGTTTATATGAATTTACTCTCTGGGGCCGAGATTTAGTGTCCGTTGTCCGTATTATAGGGTTTTCTTAAAAAAAAATTATGAGAATTTTGTCGGGACATTGGGAACTGTCCGTAATAGAGAGGTGTCCGTACCGAGAGGTTCGACTGTATTGCTCTATTGAGCATTCTAACAACCGATGAGGATTAGGATTTCAACTCAATATTTGGTTATATATCTGACTGAACTTAAGAAAACATGGCTTCAGTGAGTGTCTACAGGTCCTGTGCTAAGTGTGTCGTTGGTACCAAGACTTTGGCCCTCCCCACCCAGGACAATGGGTGACTGTCTGCACCTCCCACTGAGCTCTGCAATTATCATGATAATTACTCTCAGCAGAGGCCTGATGCAGTTGGGCAAATTAACAACAAGGTAACTTGCCAGTCGAAGCCTCTACTGAACACTGCTGCTTACTGAAGGGGTTGTGTCAAAACAGCCCCCTCCCTACCCCACTAGCTTTGACCCCCAGGCCTGATCCACCCACCCACTGTTAGGGCAGTCCCTGGACTATCCAGCTGTACCGACCAAGACGGCAAACCCCCTACTTTTTTGGACACCAGACTGGCCTGGAGCCGGGTTGCGGCCGACTTTTAAGCGATCTATGACGAAATTAGTTGCTCCTTGTGATTACACATGAATTAATATAACGAACATGTTTATCCTAATCTAACTGATCTTTAACCCTGTCTCAAGTAAATTGTTACCAAGGACCTAAAAACGGCCGTCTCATCATTAGTTTAGGTCTTTCAGAAATAATTGGGCTTACACTGGACTGTTAAGCCGTAAAAATGATTTGTGCAGTTTGTAGTCAGTACAATTGCCGAACATCTTTATGACTTAGGTCAGATTCCTGAGTGTGGCTTTAACTTGGCCTCTAACAAATTTACTTTACTTTGTGGAAAGTTTTTTTAAAGTTTTTGGTTCTGGGCAATCTGACGTGCGCTCAGGAAAGTCGATGACTTCGTGTTGCGTGGTGAACGCGAACATGGACTCAGGGGAACCAGGTAGTCAATACTGCATGACAAAACATGGATCTTCTTACCCTCAGATGGTCTGCGGATTGCGCGTGAGCGGTGTTTGGAATTATCCAGTTGGATGAGCGTATTTAAGATGTTCGCGTTCACCACGTAACACGTAGTCATCGAGTTTCCTGGGCGCACCTCAGACTGCCCAGAACCAAAAACTTTGAAAACAATTTCCCACAAAAAACACTTCCCAATACCCATGACTAGGGGAAGAGATAAGAGACTGAATGTCTAAAGGATTTGGCGCTTATATTGTGAATCGTTGCGCGGTTCTTTGATGCAAGTTTGGTCAATCCTAGATGGTTATGAAGAATTAGCCGGTTCCTCGAACAATGGTTAAGTTTAACCCAGGATTAAGCCAAATTTCAAGCATGGTGTTCTTGTCTAAGAGGATGTAACTAAAGCCTACAAAATACTGTTTAGCCTTTACTCTGAGATACAGTAATTATAATACAAAATGTTACTCTAAGCAAAGCATGGAAGGTAAATACAAAATGGTAGAACAAAATTTTAATCCTGGATTAGCACCAATCGGCCTTTCAGGAACAGAGGTTTTAAGCCCATGAGAAAGAGGGAATATTTAATGAATAAATGAAGATAATAATATCGTCACAGTCAACTCAATCATCTGGGATACATCCCGACTTCTTACTGGCAATTTGTGAAAAGCAATACATCAACAGTTGTAGTAGGAAACTTGGGGGAACAGTAATCCTCTACAATGAACTCAAACTCTTTGTCTCTTTAAACTGTTTTAATGTAGATAACTTGTTGCTCAACTTTTCACAATCAAGGCTAGCAGTATCTCTCTGACAAGACCTAGTTACAGCTCCTTTTATCCTGACTGAATCTGAAGGCTGCCACTCTTACTCAAACTTAAAATAATCTTACATCAGTAAAAATTCGATTGGCTATAAGAAATATTAACATATTTTCCTTCGAGGTTGTGTCGTAATAGGAAAATCAGTTAAAACTCCAAAATTCACTTTTGTCCAACAATTGTCCAGTCAAAACAAAACAGTCAGAGAGACACAAAAATTACAAGGAATGTTTACATGAATGAAAATCACATATGTACAATATCGTTACTCTAAAATGTACAATTTGTCAATTCGCGTACAGTGCTTAAGTTGTCGTTTAAAAGCTTCTTGTTGGAATATCGTACAATGGTAATTAGTCCCGCCTTTTTTCATATATTATTAACTAAAAGATTGTTTACAATCCCTAATCAAAAATCAATTAGCAAGATATTTACATTGCGAAAGCCTTTAAACAAAGATATCACTCGTTACAACTTTTAGCAAGTAAATTGAACTAGGCAGTAACAAAAGCTTGTTTATCACAACGAGTTAACTAAGATAGTCTGTTGGACAAAGTATTCTTTTGGAAGCGCACTGAAGTTTCGATCAAACCACTAAATACGCGAAAGATAGTAAAAATAGGAATGTCCAGGAAAAGACAACTTGGTAAGGTCAAGCTTCTGAAGATTTAGGAAAAATCAATTAAGCCAATTAATGTAAGATAACAAACAAATGTCGTTAAATTTACCAGAACTAATTAGATTAAGAACCTCTGTGTGGGTTCAGTTTAAACAAAAAGCATCATTTCTTAATTAAATAGTGGCACGTGTACAAAGAAAATCGACGTCCATAAGAGCATCTTTACAGAGAAAGGCCAAACCTTATTAACGAAAAACAAATAGCTTTTGTAAGCCCAGCACATTCTAGTAGAACGTATTTATATAACAATTCAAAACACTCTACTCAGTGATAATAATAATTAAAATATTTTAAAATAGCAATGCTTGATGATTCATTAACGTTCCTTATTCGACAAAGGTATTTTCATTTTGGTATTAACTTATACCCAAAAATATCGTTTTACACAGTACTAACTAAAAACCAAAATTGCCTGTCCACTTTCGTTTCCTCCATTACTATTACTAACTAAAACTGGCTAATGGCAGGAACATTTGGGCCCATGCTATCGAGGTGTGCCTTTTATACACTCGTAGATTCACTACTGTACCCGCTATGAGTATATACAAGGTAGTATTTTAAGTCTCTAGATAGTGGGGAAAAATCTATATCGTTTACTTAACAAACTAAATTTCTTTCCACAGTAAATTTGTTTGGTAACTTTTTGTATGAATTTTCTTCATAGTCCTGAATGTGTACTCAATCTTACTTCGGAAAAGGTGATTTTGACTCTGGATGTTGTCAGAACTCTCGTGGAAAGACTTTGTGCATGAGGATGATAGAATACTAATAAACAAATTTGATTAAGGTTTGGTCTCCGTAAATAATCTTAGTATTAAATAATAAATTTAATGTTTTTTCTTGAGATGGTGCTAATTTAAAGTGCTGATTTGAACTGTTTTATCTAAGGTCTGGAAAGTTTCAGACAGCTAGATAGTAAGGCAGTGAAAATTACAGTCAAGCCAGGTCATTTTTACCCCCCCCACCCCCAAGATACCATTAATGAATAGTCGTTGCCGCAACCAGTATCAAATTCAAATCTGCATTCCTGCATGCCTAATGAAAGTGAATTTTTATGATAACTTCTCTGTATTCAGTCAGATTGAAAAATCTTTGAATAGATAGAATTGCTTTGAAGACAATTACATCAAATTCAAGAAAAGTGAGCTGGAGGGAAAGAAAAGTCATAACTACCTCGCTAGCCTGCGTTGCAGCCTATGGCGTTCCATTTCCGCCAAAATTCAATGTTCCATTTTGCATTGTACTTTGCACAATCTGTCCTACATTTTGTGTTTGTCATTTGAGTTTGCACTCGCGATTCAATTTTTTGCATTCAACATTCAACTTCAATTTATGCAACATTCAAGTTTTTGCTTTCGACATTCAACTTTTTAATAAGCAACAGTCAAGTTTTCGAATTCGACCTTCAAGTTCAGTGGAATGTACATTCATTTTTTCGCATCCAACATTTTGCATTTGTCCTTTAAGTTTTCGCTTCCGACATCCGACCGGGTATTGTACTTGCAAATTTCCGCATTCGACATTCAACTTTGCGAATGGAACTTTTACCCGCTGGTCAGCGACCGATGGAGATCGTTGGCTCAATTGACTTGACCCATTCCCGCTCAAATGGTGGTCGAGAGTCGGTCGAGAGACTTCCCAGTGCAGTGGACCCGGGAGACCTTCTCCACTCCCGACAAACCAGATGTGGAAAGACGTGTTCACGTCCGTGTGATAAAAGCCGCCGATCGACAAGATGTTGCAGCACCTGCTAGTAAAGACGAGGTGAGAGCCACTCTCTCGAGGGTAGCTGACTGTCTGTCTTCTATGGAAGAAACACCATCTCCAAGTAAGTGTCGGGCAACCTTTGTCAAGTATGAAGAAGTTATGTGTTCAAGAAAGTTGTGTTCGCGCCGAAACAAGCATACATGTACGCATAATGGCTCAGTCAATTCCAAGCATGCCCATCACCACCCCATGCCGGGCATTTGTCATCTTGTCGGTCCCGGCGGTGGAATTTGTCAGAAAAACTCTACCCGGGGTTGGGGAATTTATCTATTCTTCTAGAAGAGGTTAACGTTGTTCCTTTTTCAATACTTCACTTAAAAATCTGAACATTCAGATAGCTTTAGATATTTATATAAATAATGTTTTTATTACTGGCTTATGCTTTAAAACGATATGTGTGGTTTTCACTCCAGCACTTCCCTACCCCACAGTATTATTTGCATCTGTCCCGCCATCGTGATCACTTCGCATGTGGATGAAAAAGAATCAATATATCGATTGAAGAGTTTAACGGAAAGACACTCTCTTTGTCCCATGAATGTTTGAGGCAGAGAGGCCTAGAAAAACTCTGTGAGATATATAAAAGTGAATATAAACTTTGTGTATTGTACGATCAATGCGACAATATGCTTACGAAACGGTTCTATCATGATGAGAAAATACTCATCTTAAGCTCGTCGGTTGTTTATCATTCACTATTTGAACATCTTCTAAAATAATAGAGGTCTTGTTAAAATTCTAGTTTATAGTTTTGTCTTTGATATTTAAAATCCGATGAGTGTGATCTTTTTTGCAATAAATAAGACAATTATATTTACTGCAAAAAAAACGAGCGGGTAGGAGCGATTTGCGCAGGGTGCCTCACGTGCGAGTTTGATCAGATAATTACAGATTTCCCCTAAATTTGCATTGGTATTTGCAGTTTATTCACTGGAAAATGAAATTTTGGTGTTGTCCCGGGATGGGGCATTTGCACCCTATTTTAAGGCCCCACCGTGGGTTTTTTTTGTATGAACGCCCGGCCCCACTGTGGGGCATTTGCAGCTTTTCCAAAAAAAAAAAAAAAAGACAAATGCCGGGGCGGTGGGCACGTTTGGAATTGACTGAGGCATAAATAGCGCCAGCTTGATTTTGATCATTTCACGCGCGCTGTATTAGGGCTGTCCATAAGTTGCTCGGCAACTTTTGAGCAACTTTTAGTCCTTCGAGCAACTTTTCGGATTTCGTGCAACTTTTTTCTTTTTTGAATAACTTTCTTGCTTTTTTAAGGCAATTTGTAACTAAAAACCGCCCATTCAAGTTCTAATTTAAAGCATCAGTTGCTTTTATGCATGATTTTGCGTAAAATACCTTTTGTAAACAAAAAACACTATTCCCCTGGTGGTCCGCCTGTGGTAGCAGCCGAATGTGGTCAGCGGATATGCTGAAAAATTCAAAATGGCGGAGCCAACAACAGGGACAGTGCTCTGTACTACATCCGCAAAGATGTAAATATTGAAAGACTATGGTTTTATACCACATACACTCGTGTATGTCAGAGAAACTTTATATATTTAATAAGCATATTAGCAAAGTTTGTTTTGTTCGAATACAATCACGTGGTTATCGTATTAGAAAGCCGATACAGAGAATCAGATTTTTATGATTTGGGTTGAGAGAGACTTTGAGCGCGATCCATTCAACCAAAATTCAGACCGGTCCGACCGGAAAAAGAGGACCACCTCAAAAGGTGGACCTGTTTTTTCGAAACTTTTCCGGTTGGACCGAACCGATCC